AGAGAGAGAGAGAGAGAGAGAGAGAGAGAGACAGACAGAGAGACAAAAAGGGCTTGCCCGCTTTGCACGGATTTTTAACCACGGATTTGCACATGATAAAAATATAAATTAACAAAGACGTTTTTAGTAAATTTGTAATAATTACATACAATTAACTCAATGATTTTATGCAGAATATAATTAGTACTTTAGTTGGGTATCCATTGTTTTGTTTTCTTATCAAATTTTGAAAGAGTTCGTCTATATTTTTTTGGATAAATAAACATTATTACATATTCTTTTAATTTTATTCATTTGAATATAAATGGTACTTAAATGGTTGTTTTCTAAGAAGCATTGGAAATCCAAGAAATTAGTTTAAATATTTTATTTCAATAATTTTTCTTTTTCTCTTTTTATTAAAATTTATTATTTTCCATGTTTTCTCTATATTTTCTCTTCAAAGAAAACAAGAGAAAAAGTATTTTTTTAAGAAAAGAAGAAAAATTATTACTGAAAAAATTCTTTTTCAAAAATTTTAAAAAAAGAATTCAAAGGAGGGAAACAAAATAAGGAAAAGATATAATCTTGTCTTCACTCACATGATTATATCCTCAGAAAAGTGTTAGAATATTCATAAAACGTACAGCAAATGTTTCTGGACCATTGGATTGCTTTTAGATAGAAGTTATGCAGGCCAATAATTGTGCAATTTTTAGATAGTGACAATATGGCGGCCACGATGGCGGTTTGTTTACATGAAGTGCATTGGTGAGATATGAGTTTTTCTTGTCGGATTTAATTGACAAACTGGTCATAGATTATATAATACCATGTAATGTTTGAGTTATTTTACCATGTAATGCTAATACCATATAATGTTAATACTATTTTCTTTACTAATTGATAGAAAAATTGATTGTAGTCGATTACTAGCCAAGTAATTTCTATCTTCTTTTCGGATTGAATTGACAAACTACTCATATAAAATGATATAAAATGTATGTATGTTTTTAGTTGTAAAGATATTTATTTTCTCATAAGATTCACACAAATCTATCAATTGTATAAAATAATTTGATAATGTTTAATTTATATTCACTTCTGTTTTGCTCGAATTCAAATGAATATTCTGCCTCTGTGTATGTTTGATGAACAAACTAATTTTATTTTAGGAAATATTGTATGCATCTTAATTTTACGTTTCATGCTTTAGATTGTATGGTAAAAATAACTTAACTGATTCTTATGTACACCGTATCTTATGGTAATTATAAATTTTAGTGTTATTGAACAGCAAGAATGGTGGCGTCTATTTTCCCCCAAAAAAAGATCATCCTAGGCGTTTTACCAAACCAAGAACTATCCTCGATCTTGATGTATGGCACACTCAGTGAAACACTA